TCCTTTTTCTCATCTGAACCCTCTGACAAGAAGAACCTGGTTGCTATGAGCGTGTGTGTGTGTGTGTGTGTGTGTGCGCGCGTGCGTGTGCGTGCGTGCGTGTGCGTGTGTGTGTGTGTGTGTGTGTTATTTGGATGTGTGGTCTGGTTGCTATGAGCGTGTGTGTGTGTGTGTGTGTGTGTGTGTGTGTGTGTGTGCGCACGTGCGTGTGCGTGCGTGCGTGTGCGTGTGTGTGTGTGTGTGTGTGTTATTTGGATGTGTGGCAGGCATAGAGGGATGGGTGAAGAGGGAGAATTTGGGTAGAATTGGAGAAAAAAAATCCAATATATAATTCCTCCTAAGAGATTTGTCTACAATGTTGTCTGGAGTACATTTTCTCCACTGTTCTTCTCAGTTGTTGCTTGTGTGAGAAGCATGAACTTGGCAGAGGAAAAGAATCCGCTAAGAAAATCTGCAGGGAGACTCATAATGCAAAAATCTTGAAAAATGCTTCCATAATTTCTCCTTAATCATTACCAAGGCAGAAGTTAGGAGGGTTATTTTTACTACTTTTTTTTTTTTTTTTGCAGTTCTTCATCAGTTGAAACAAAAATGTAGATAGTTGCCAAATCACCAAATAACTAATAGACTGTTTAGAGCTTTATCACTATATTGTTCAGTTTCCTAAAAAAGGCCATTTGTTTTGACTTTAAATATGCTTTTTTTCTTTTAAATTTGATAGTGTAGTGATTTTTCATTCTTAGCATTATAACACTGTCATGTGAAGAGCAGGGGCTGAATATATGTATTAAATTAAATTAGATTTAATCCAATCATAAAGTACTTCAAGTACTTTTTTATTGTGTGAATGTTTATTTCTGTGATGTTTTGGTGCAATTCTGCATGTAGTGATTTTTACCTATTTTTTTATGAAAACAATGGAGTTAACATGTTTTCCAATGATAACATTCAGAAAAATGAATTAAAATTAAAATATTTTTAAAAAGAGAAAGTGCTTTAACCTGGACAGATTCCAAAACTGTCATTGCTTTAGAATAATTACTAAATCAGCTTTCATTTCTTTTTCTTTCTTTGGCAGCTAGTTGGTACAGGGATCGAAACATGGATCTGGACCTCGGTGCTATCAGCAACATGCTCTAATCAGCTGACCTGACTGCCCAGCACCTAAAACTAGTTTTCAACTGTGAAATTAAATGGAATATAAACCATTATAAATCTAAGCAATATAGTCATAAATCTGTTTTTTAATTCCTGTTATTGCCCCCATAGTGTGCCTTCTGATGAAATCATAAAATATTAACTTTATCTTTGAGATTTTATCCTCTCAAGTTTCTGGTATTCCCTAGTTGTTACAAACCATTTGTTTTACACATATGATAGTTATAAACCTTATAAATCTTTATTTTTTATTTCTATAATTTGGATATTATCTTTTTAAATTTTTTACTAAGTTTTATTATTTATATAATCAATATGAAAAGGTTTTTAAATTTTGCTTTAATGCACATGGAAATATATATATATATTACATATATAATAATATATATTTATTATTCAGGTAAGAACATTTAACATGAAATCCACTCTCTTAAATTTTTAAGTGTGCAACATAGTATTGTTAACTATAGGCATGATGTTGTATAGCAGATATCTAGAACTTACTCATCTTTTATAACATGAATTTACTATTTTTAGTCAAAGGGAAAGTTTGTGCAAAGGAAATAAAATAAAATTTCTTCATTAATGACTATATTTTAGAGCACTGAATAGCCTACTAAGAGTTTTGATTTTGATTTCACAGATTTACAAGGTCATTTATAATAGTAGCCTCCAGAAAAGTGCTTATCTTATAGCAAAAGACAAGCTAAATTCATTTCATAAACATAGATAATGAAAAATTTTTTTTTTCATTTCCTGTATTTGATTTACCAATACATGGAACATATACCTGCTTCTCAATGGAAACATGCAAAAATTTTCATAGTATTTACTTTTGTTCTACTCTTAGAAACTAACTTATGATTACTCATGGATTATTAAAGGATAAATAGAATGATGACATATGAAATAATATTTAGATCAGTAAGAGAGAATTTCTAGGGAATCTTCTACTTGCTATCTGATCCATGATCTCATGATGAACTTTTAGAAGCCAAATTAAACACACACATGAACACAGACACACATGCACACAGAACTCATGGGATAACTGGATATCCATTTGCAGGAGATTGAAACTAGACCCATACCTCTCACCATGTACTAAAATCAACTCAAAATGGATCAAGGATTTAAATATACACCCCGAAACAATAAAACTTATTAAAGAAAACATAGGAGAAACCCTTCAGCAAATAGGGCTGGGCACAGACTTCACATTATGGATTTTCCTAAAGAAAATGATCCACAAGGAAGCTTGTATTGAACATTGCAATGTTTGCATTTTGTAGAAGTGGTACAAGTGACTTAATTTATGGAAATAATGGAATAGTGGTTGTCAATTTAATATCAAATTGTTGATGTGTTTATAAGTTTAGTCCAAATTTATTTTCCTTTAATTTCTTTTATTGGCTATTCTAGTAAGATACATGGTTAAGATGGGGAAATGGAGCATAGAAAAATTTTTGGCTATCTGCTATATGTTAAAAATAATTGGAATATAAAATGTAGGGTTTTGGGGGGGGTTTTGGTCAAATTGTATCACACAAATAAAATTACACTGCAAAATTTGAATGTTAATTTTCTAGAAACAGTACAAAAATACTTTCCTGTACATGAGTTATGTGCATAAATTCCATTTGAGGTATGCTCTGCTCAAGAGCAGTTGACTCGTAATATTTTCAGAGAGTAATTTTGTCCTCAGATTCTGGAGACAGCTTGCTATATAGCTCTGCATGTAGTTGCCCCACTGGCTGAATAGCATTTTGTGCAGCATCACATGTACAGAGCTCCAGAAATTAGGTCAGAAACAAAGATTTTGTTTCTTTGGCTTTGTCCATATGGACTACATAATTCATTAAACTAATGCAATTTTCATGCCTTGGCTTCTGCTAGAGGAGTTTTGAAGATGGGTTATACTATTCTACTCCCTGACCAGTATAACTCTGACACACTACAAACTACGCATTTAAATACGTATATATATTTTTTATTTTGGCAGCTGGCCATTACAGGTATCTGAACCCTTGACCTTGGTGTTATCATACCAAACTACATATTTAAGACATGTTGTTGCCTCTGATATTTACCTGGTCTCCAAAGCCAGAAACCAGTATTATGTACACAATATCCAATACATTACCAAAAGCCAAAAATTCTAATTTTGTATTATTGTCATGTAGTTTATGGCCTTTGACATCACTTTCTTAAGCTATCAAGACAATCTCCTAATTGATCTTACCATTAAGTTCCTTTTTTTGTTTTGGCTAATACATTCCCTTCATTTTCATACTACTGCAGAGTTTTCTTTCCAAGGAAATTTTTCTCCAAAAAATATCAAATTAAAAAAAAAAAACTAATATTTTTCTTGCCTGTAGGATAAAACCTAAATTTCTCATTTTTTGATTGTGTAAGACCAGTCATAATCTAACACTCACCCATCACTTCAGCCTTGTCTTTAGCCATAATCCAAACTTCTGACTTGCTTCTTTCCACTTTTAGATATTGTGGTACTTTGAGACATACTTTAAATATGTGATGTCCATCAGGACAATAACCCTGACATGACATTTCTTTTTTTTTTTCAGTTGCAAGCACCTGCTCATTCTTTAAGACTTAGCTTATGTGTTTCTTCCTGTGGAGTAGGTTTAGCATCAACAACGAAAATTTTCAAAATAAACAGATTTAACCTATTATTGAGAAATAAGAAAAAAATTTATATTGCAGTTGCAAGCACCTGCTCATTCTTTAAGACTTAGCTTATGTGTTTCTTCCTGTGGAGTAGGCTTAGCATCAACAAGGAAAATTTTCAAAATAAACAGATTTAACCTATTATTGAGAAATAAGAAAAAAATTTATATTGTTATGAATTATGAAAAGTATTTTGTTTAAAAAGTTTTTGGTATAATATTCATGAGTGATTATAACTATTTATAAATTTGTAAATTCATCATCATTATATAAAACATTAAGTATGCAATATAGGTAATGTGAATTTTATATAATAATATACATTTCTCATTATATTTTGTCAGTGTTTCTGCTGATGTTTTTTGTATTTATTGTAAATAATTTCAATGCTCATCTTTATTAAGATAATACCAATTAATATGGTTGTCTTATTTAGAAGTATATCACTACATTTATATTCATAATTCACAAAATCCTTTACTTCTGAATGATGCAATATTTAATTAGAAATTTTCAACACAGTACTGCCATCTTAGTATTATATTTCAATTTAGATAATTGAGTGCACAAAATCTACTGCTTGCACTTAAATTATTAGAGAAATAACATTTTTAAAATGTAAAACTGTAATGACATGTTTTGTGAGCTAGAATTTTACTCTCTTGCAGTGTATTAATGAGTATAAATCATATTTTGGTAACATGCTTACATTTGTAATATAAAGAAGTTTTTTTAAAAAATAATTTAAGAATTTATGTAAAATATTTTTAAAAGCAACCACATCCCTTTTTACATCTTAGTTATAAACTTTATTGTTGGTTTCAAAGTGATTAGATTACACAGTAAAACAAAATTTCTAAGAACATATAAGTTTATGATTATCATGTTTTAGATGTAAGGAAAAATGTTATTTATCCTCCTATAATAATTAAGATATATATATGCAGGAATCTAATCTATCAAGCTTGCAATGTGTTTAGCCTGAAAGACTTGAAAATTCCAAGTTGTCACTGACATATTTTTTTTGGTGAGGGATCATTTTAATTTAAAATAATTTCAAACTTACAAAATAATTATAAGAATAATACAAAGATTTCCCACATAACATTTACTCAGATTAATTATTTAACTTTTTGTCCCATTTGACTTACCATTTGCTCACTCTCTCATTCCTTTTCTTTGTTCTCTCTCTTTCATGTTCTATTTTGCTTGTTTTTTCTCTCTCTCTTTTTCCATGTGCACACACACATTCGCACACCTGTGTCATCAGAGTTACATAAATTGAGAGTAAATTGCAGGCATCAAAGCATGTTCTTTTACTGCTAAATATTTACTTCTTTTTTTTTTTTTTTTCTGTCTTTTGTCTTTTTCCGTGTCCGGCAACGGATCGCAACCCTCAGTGTTGCCCCCGTACCGGACCGGGGACCGGCAACGGGATTGCAACCCTCGGCGTTGCCCCCGCGCCTCGCTCAGCCAGTGAGCGGGAACTGGTCTGTATGTGGGATCCGAACCCTCGGGCGGGAGCGCCGCCGCGCTTCCCAAGCGGCGCACTTATCCAGTGCGCCACCGGGCCGGCCCCTAAATATTTACTTCTGTATTACCTAAAACAAAGAAAATTTTCATTCTGAACCATAGTACAATTATCTAAATTAAGAACTTTAATATTACAGTGTTACTACGTAATACACAGCCCATTTGAAATTTTTCTAATTGTGCTACTCATGCATTTACAGCTATTTTGTTCTTGGCTTAAGATCTAATCAGGGATCATGCATTGCTTTCAATGTCTTTTTATTCTCCTTTATCCTGAACAAGTTCTTAAGATTTCCTTGGTGTTTTATGACCTCGACATTTTGAAGACACAGGCCAATTATTTTATAAGCATGTTTCCATATATGTTTGTCCGAGGGTTCATCACAATTACACCAAAGTTAATCATTTCTGTCAGCAATGCAAGAGAAGTATTATTGTCTTCTCCACATTGCATCATATCAAGAGGCACATGGTTTCAATTTGTTCCTTTAAAGTTAATCACTTGGTGGTTTTTGTTAGGTTTCTTTATTGTCAAATTATTTTTCCCTTTGTAATCCATAAGCAATTTATGAGGACGTAAATCTGAAACTGTAAACAGCCTGTTCCTCACCAAACCTTCATCCTCCAGATTTAGCTTCCATTGATGATTCTTTCTTGAAACAAGTTTCATTGTAGCCAAATTGTCATTTTTGCACTCCATCACTCATTCTACTTTTATTAGTTGGCATTCTACACCATAAGAAAGGACTCCCTCTTCTTTCTTCTTTTTAAATTTTTGCCATTTATTTAATCAGTATGGACTTGTGGATTATTTTACTCAAGTTTTATTTACTTTGTTGGTCTAATTCTCTCAGATTTGACCCCTTGAAATTGACTCTTGCTCTTTGGACAACTTTCCACTGGTTTTTTTTTTTTTTTTCCTTTTTGTCTTTTTTCATGTCTGGCAACGGATCGCAACCCTCAGTGTCACGCCCGTACCGGACTGGGACCGGCAACGGGATCACAACCCTCAGTGCTGCGCCCGCACCTCACTCAGCCAGTGAGCAGGAACCGGTCTGTATGTGGGATCCGAACCCTCGGCGGGAGTGCCGCCGTGCTCCCAAGCGGCGCACTGTAGCAGTGCGCCACCGGGCTGGCCCCTTTGATAGCTTCTTTAAACTGCAAAGTGTTTGAGATTCATCTTGCACTTGCTCTCCTTAGACCTGTAATCAGCCATTTCTCCAAAGACCCTTGGTTCTTTTAGAGAAACAAGTATCTAGGAGCCAAGATCTATAGTTATGACTACTAGGGTATCATTGCTTCTACGCTTTTTTAGCTGACATGGTTAGGAAATTATCTATCTATCTATCTATCATATATCAATGCTTCTATTAAAGATGAGTTAACTCTGATACTTTCAATTCCAATCCAACACATTATGGTTAATTCTAGTTCCACCTTTTCTATGTTTGTAACTTGTTTTTCCATGAATGAGAAATCTGGCTTCCATAATTTCAATGTAGTTTCTCGTTTGATTAATTCTACAGAAATACACAGAAAATGTTCAGAAATGTTAGCCCACACTATGAAAAAGATACTTATTAACTACAGCTCAGTATTTCTTTTCAGTTCTGTTGGACAAGGTATGTCACTTGGATTAGTTCATTTTTCACCTTTCAGTGGTTATTGTGTATTTACTTGAAACACAGTTTGGTTCATTTGTTTCTATTCAGTATTCTATTTTATAGTCGTTGCCATTGATTCTTACAGAAAGTTCACATACTGTTCCAGTTAGTATTGCTTAGTGAAAAGAACATCCAAATCATAGTGGCAGAAAATTCCATTTTATTATGTTTTCAAAGCACAGAACCATAAGGACAGTCAGACTTCCTGCATGGTGGTCACTGGCATCCAAAATTGAATGTTCCATGTCACAAGAACAAAGCTGCATCACTTTTTATGACCTAGCCCCCAAACTCACACAGTATCACTTCTGCCATATTTTGTTGGCTGCAACTGAGTCTCGATGTGCCCAGGTTCAAGAACAGAATCATACTCCTCCTGAATGACAGAACGGTAAGTTACTGGAAGAGTATATTGAATGGATGATATTGCTACATTCATTCTTGGAAAATAAGTCTGCTACAGTCTACTTACTAGCCACAACAGTTCATATCCCTATCACATGAGAAATATAATTTCTTCCTCCCAATAGTACACAAGAGTTTTATCTTTTATTGCATCAGGCTCAGGCTTGAGGTCTAAGATATCATCATTTCAGTCAGGTCTAGGCTTGTATAAGATTTCTCATATGCATTAGCTTTTTGAATTTGTGAACTAAAGAGACACATTATCTGCCCACACCCACAAGCAATGGGAGGATTGGCATAGAGCAACTACTTATATACTTGTTTAAAATCTGAAGAAATGGGAGGCACACAACAGTCATTGGTCTGTAGTAACTCTGCAATCCAGTCAGGGACAAGGTTTCGATTCTTTAGGGTTCAATCCTCTTTGCAGAGAGTTGTTTTTTTGTAGCTCCTGGCTGTACCCCCTGGAATTTTGACTCTTCCCACTTAGTCATCCTTTCTTTTCTGGAACAAATGGCTTGTGTTTATAACTGAACTACTTTCGCATTTCTCAGCCTACTATCTGCCAGTAAAAAAAAAAAAGAAAGAAAAAGAAAACGGAGATCCAAAGGTGTTTTTTCATTTTGCACTATTTCTGTCCCTTTCAATATATTGATACAATTCCTTTAATATAAGTAGATTTTAACTGCTCTTGTCACAAAAAAGAAACTGCTAGATGATAGATATTTTAATCTGCTTCACTCTAGTAACCGTTTTACTATCTGTTTGTATTCCACACATCATGTTGTAAATTTCAAAAACACAATAAAATCTATTAAGAAAAAAAATTAATTTAATAGTATGTGGATAAATGCTAAAAACTTCAAACAAAAACCCACTGTGGGATTAAAACATTATAGATATCAACTTATCCATGAATTGAGACAAAAAGTACACTCGTCACCCCTTTGAGGTAAGCCCTTCTCTTTACGGGCTTCCTGTGAGTATGCTGTGGAACAGCACCCATAAGTTTCTTAAAAGCTCTATATAATGGAGCGAATCTAAAGCAATCCTTCGTGACCCTGAACAAACTTTTGTTAGAGTGAAACGGCATAAAAAGTGCTGCCTTAGGTCTTTCTACTAGGGTATCATTGCTTCTACGCTTTTTTAGCTGACATGGTTAGGAAATTATCTATCTATCTATCTATCATATATCAATGCTTCTATTAAAGATGAGTTAACTCTGAGACCTTCCAAATCTAGCACAGATTTCTTATGACAAACTCTAACTGAACCTCACAGAAAAGACAATACTGGGAATGGTAGTTACAGCTCTCTCTCTCTCTCCCTCTCTCTCTCTCTCTCTCTCTCTCTCTCTCTAACCTTTCAAATCCAGCACAGATTTCTTATGGCAAACTCTAACTGAACCTCACAGAAAAGACAATACTGGGAATGGTAGTTACAGCTCTCTCTCTCTCTCCCTCTCTCTCTCTCTCTCTCTCACACACACACACACACACACACACAAATATATGCCCTTTGCTTTTATTTACTTAATTACTTAATTTTATTATCTTGAAAATTACATTATATCAATTCAAACATAGCTTTCTCAAGTTTTTTTTTTTAACAGATGAATATGACTCTATCGTTTGGGAACATTGCTAATGCAACCAATTCCAGTTCCTTTTATATAGGTTAAATTTGGTTCAAACACTTTTCAATTACATAAAACGAGTAACCTTTTTCATATTATTTCAATTTTTGGAAGATTTTCTTCAGGGTAAATTCCTATAAATGGGATAGCTGAATTAAAAGGTAATGCATATGTAGTTGTGTTACATACTGCCAAATCTCCCTCCATAAAGATATAAGTTTGCATTTCTACAAGGAATGGATAAATGTGCCCATTTTCCCAAAACTTCAACAAGAGAAAAATATTGTAAAGCTTTTAACTTTTGTTAATGTAATGGAACAAAAATAATATCTCAGCATTGTTTTCATTTGCATTTCTATTATTCTAACTGAAATTGAACATATTTTAATGTTTCTGAGGCCATTTTTATTTAGTCAATTTTAGAATTTTCTGTTTCAGTCTATTGTCATTTTTCTATGATATTTTTGTATTTTATCCTCAATTTTTTGAGTTCCCTCTATATTAGTAACATTAATAATTTTCCAATTATGTTTTTTGAACATTTTCCTCAAGTTTGTCATTTGACCTTTGGCTTTATTCTTGATTTTTTCCCATGCAAATGCTATTTTTAAAAAATTTTATGTACTTTAATTATTAATCATTTATTTCATTGCATTGAGATTTTTAGCTGTAATTACTCAGCCTTTCCCTATGCCCAGGTTATAGAAGAATTCACTCATGTTTTCTTCTAGTACTTCTAATATCAATTTTATTTCCTACATCTAGATTTTGATTCGTTTGGAGTTTATTTTTCCATATGCTATAAGGAATCAATATAATTTTATCTTTTTCTGAATAACTACCCCGTTATTATAGCACCATTTTTAAACTGAACATACCTGGTGTCCTGAGGCAGGAGCTGAGGGCTTCCCCCCACTGCCCACAACCAGGCAAGGAGCACACTGAAATCAC